TCAGAGCCCTGCTCTGGAGGGGGAGGTTCCCCCTCTCTGACTGGTGGGAGATGCAGGTTCAAATCCTGGTCCCAGAGCTGAGCATCCCCTCACTCCCATTCCAGGGGGAGAGTGAGTTGCTGGGGCCTCAGCGTCTCAGGTTGGCAGCTCTCCTGGTTGTAGCACAAGTTTCCCAACATTTGATGTTTGACTTAAAGCCCCAGCTCCCAGAGAGAAGAATCTCAGCTGCCATTTACAAACGGAGTGTCTAGTTGCAGAGAAACGCGTGAAAAATCTAGCCCAAGAGCAGCCTCAAAGCTCAGAAAAAGGACCCCCCATCTATTTATTTTGTAAACCATCATGATTACTAAGCCTGGCTCATCAGTTTGCAGTGTTTGGAGTTGGCAATACTGATTTGGGCACTCACAACTGAGGCACTTGGAGTTAAAGGGCTCATCTGAAAATTTGTTTAAAGTCATAGTTGGGACTAAAACCCAAACTCTCAGTATCACTATACAGCTTGCATTGCCTTTCACTAGGGACTGTTCCTTCCTGAATTAACAAATTTTTCCCCTTATTCTTCTCATTCACGCAACTGTTTCAGGCAGATCACTATGCTTTTACAGTTTCAGCCTACCCAGGATGGTATCTGAAGAATGGTCTTTTTGATATATCCTTTCCCTTAGTTTTCTTCCTTTCATAAAGTTTTTTTTCCTTTCTGTGTCTTTGTCACTGAAAAATATCCCCCATGTAAAGTATTTCATATCTCTGGGGAGCAACAAATGCATTTGATATACCGACTATCATATTAAATCAAGTGTAATAATTAGATGAACATACTGTCCTGAGAAATAATCAAACGAGAATTAAGAAAGGGCTGAAGAAAGCTCTTGGTCATCAAGCAATATTTTTCTAGTTTGGTAGCACAAATGTGTTGGAACAAGGCACGCTTCTGAAGAGAATAAAGTTTGAATATTTGCCAGTCAAAGCAAAGCTCAACATGTTTTTTTTTATTTTGATACAAGTAAATATGATAGTGAGAAGACCTTTTCCTTTCCCCATGGAGGATGATCAGTCTCTACATGGGAAAAGAAGAGAGCATTTAATTGTTGATATTTCTGGTGAGGATGCCAAGAAGGGTGCTCGTTTTGATGGTAGTGTTTACAATATGCAAATTTGCTTGTAGGGAAATGGATTGAGAGCACAAAGCTCATATCACTTATTGAATGATGAGTTTCAGTCAATAGTGATAGAGGCTGGATGCAAACCAAGGTGCTGGAAGAGAAAGTCTCTATAGCCTAGTACAACTGCCTTGAGCTGTTCAGTCCCAGAAAAGATTCTCTTTATTATCGTTAGTATATGGAAATAATACCAGGACACTAAGCTAGAAGCAGAAAAAAAATGATTTCTTGAGAGAACAGGGGGTCTGGAGGTTTTCTTATATCCCTACTGGAATATTCCCACTTTGAGGGAAAGTGCAGCTCTGCTCTGAAAAATGTGTTTGTAAAAATAACTTACAGCATCAGTGGGACACAATAAATGTATCAGATTTTTTCAGGTAACCATCAGCTCTGCAAACATTTTGGGATCTGAAAGCCAAGCAGAGTTTTTTTTAGCTCGTGCATCAACACAAGCAGTAAAGACTGCAGGCTACATGCTACACTCAGCTACACCTGAGCAACCCCATTTTGCTCAAATTATGCCCTGACACCTGTGCAATCCAATTGTTCTATTGTGGGAACATATAAGTGTACCTGAGGCATCATTTGATTCAAGAACTCCTAATACAAGAACAAGGGGCCACCAAATGAAATTAATAGGTAGCAGGTTTAAAACAAACACAAGAAAGTATTTTTCCACGCAATGCACTGTCAACCTCTGGAACTCCTTGCCAGAGGGCGTTGTGAAGGCCAATACTATAACGGGGTTCAAAAGAGCTAGATTCATGGAGGATAGGTCCATCAATGGCTATTAGCCAGGATGGGCAGGAATGGTGTCCCTAGCCTCTGTTTGCCAGAAACTGGGATTGGGTGATGGCATGGATCACTTGATGATAACCTGTCTGTTCATTCCCTTTGGGGCTCCTGCCATTGGCCACTGTCAGAGGACAGGATACTGGGCTTGATGGACCTGTGGTCTGACCCAGTATGGCCGTTATTATGTTCTTACGTTCTTGAATACAATGCGTTTACACAGGTGGCCCAGTTACTAGAAATTAGATGACAACTATGTTGTGGATGTGCAAGCAGACGTGATTCAGTTCACTCTCCTAGAGCTGGGTTGGTTCTACACAGGAATAAAAATCCGTAAAAGTTTACTATTGTCCCTGAAGTGCATTTCAAAAGATTTGGAGGTTCTAAGGGCTAGATTCAAAAAGGCTGAGCATTACAGCACCTACCGTTTACGTGCCATGTTGTCAAATGGAATTCACAGCAATTAGCTAGGCGTCCAGGCTCTCTATTCAATGCTCAGTGAGAGTCAGGTGCCAGAAAAGGGATTCACAAAAGACAGAACACTGAGCTGCCTAAAATAGCCAATAGGAGATGCCAAAGAGAGGGTTGTGGCCTAAGCCTCACATCTCATAGGGAGTTGGAAAGAGATAGGTGCCTCCTTCCATTGGGGATTCACAGCTGTGAACCTTCTCCTGGAGTTAAGGGCCTAACCCAGACTGGCCCTTTCTCAAGAAAAACAGAGGAGGATGTGCTGTCACTGTGCCCCTTTTACTCAATAGCCCAATGGGTAGAGCACTAGGGTGCATGAGATCCAGGTTCAAATCCGCACTCTGCCTGATGTGGAGCAGGTGCGTGAACCTAGATCTTCCACCTCAAAGGTGAATTATAAGCGGAGCTGTTGGGTGATGTCAGGACAAAGGCAGCTGTGCACATGTAGGCACCTAGGGGACTGCACCATTTGAAATATAGGCACTGAGGGAATTCAGACACCTACAGGATTGGGGACATCTGAGCAGAGGTTTTGTGAACATCAGTGGGGCCTAAATGTTGGACCTAGATCCCCTTTGTGAATCAAACCCTAATAATCTCACCCAAATTCAGATTTTAACAAAGCCTCTTGGTTTGTCTCCTAATCTTATGCTGTAAATCACGAGACAACCCTTTGTCTTTTAAAGGTATTTTTATGTGCAGCATTGGAACGGTGCTGAGGAACCATAATAGATTTCAGAACTAATACCTGAAACCATGTGTCAATCACAACACTACTTACTGAACGGCAGTGGCAATAATAATTCTTGCCTATTTACTTCATAGAGATTGAAATAAGGCTTAACCACTTAATGTTTGCAAAGTGCGTTGAAAATGTGGAGCACTATGCAAGTTCTCAATATTATAGTTTTAAAAAGAGTCTTTAAGAATTTCCTGTTTGGAAATTTAAAGGCAGGTGCAATTAACAACGTTTAAGACTCTATTCATAGTCTTGTTTCCATTACAACTTACGCGTATTATCTATCAGACCATTTCTACAGCCATTCATGTGGTCTTATGGATAGCTGATCATGCTAAAGAGGTTTAATTTATATGCAGATTAGCACTAGTACATCAGATAAAAGAAAAGGCTCTTGAAATTTTGCATCCATTCAATAATAGGTTGCTACTTGTAAGAATGCTTGACTTAAATCTGCTTCCCTACCAGATAATTCTTGTTATATAGGATTTTCATAAAGAAAGAGGCAGTAAATTTGTTTCCTTTTTCAAAAGTGCAGCCCAGTCCCATTGACTTTAATGGGAGCAGGAACAGGACCAAGACTGGCAATCAATTCATAAGGTATTTGAATGAAAAACAGAGAGTCTGCATTTCCTAATTCTCAATGTAAAAGCTTGGCAATCTAGTGGTTTTAATACTGTACATATATAGTCAGAACTGGAGATGAAAAATATTCACATGATATTTATTGGATCTGGAAAAGCCCTTTGACCAAGTTACAAGAGAAATCTGGTGTGTATGAGGGAGAAAATGATACCAGAACTTTGTGTGTAGCTTGTTCAAACCATGTATGTATGCGCAACATCAACAGTCAGAACTTTTAGTGGTGCAGCAGATGAACGATGGGTAAAGGGGGAGTGCATCAGGGATCAACACTGAGCCCCTTTTTATTTATCCTTGTCCTGGATACCCACAAAAGCAAGCACCTTGGGGCACGTTGTTTGCAGATGATATTCTATGTAATGAGGAGAAAGATAGTCTAGTAGAGGATCTTGGTAAGGGGAGAGATGTGTTGGAGAGACATGGGCTCAGGATAAGCAGAGGAAAAACAGAGTATATGGTGTATAATTTCAATAATGTGAACACTGAAGAATTATCCTTGAAACTAGATGGGCAATTAGTATTATGACAATTTCGAGTAGCTGTCTATACAACTTACTAATTCTGGTTGGTATTATGAAATTGTTACTATAAAAATTGCTGTATCAGGAAATGTCTAGGTCAGCATATTCACCATTGCTGATAAGCTTTTATGCACGTTCATCCCAGACCATGAACAACAGACGATCCCTAAGGACTATCATCACCTGACTAGGTCTTACCTGGGGAGAACAAAAGAATAATTGCAGCATCCTAGGGGAAACCAGTTCCAATAAACACCATGTAAATGTTTTCTGTCTCCTGTTGTGATTATATATGCACAATATTAAAACCACTAGGTTGCCAAGCTTTAAATTGAGAATTAGGAAATACAGAATCTCTGCTGAAGGTCTGCATTGTAACTTAAATGGCCAACAATTTACAGATGAAAAGGTGAACCTGAGAGTGATGTGTGCTTAATTACCTCAGCCATAATAATAGTGATACTGTGTGGCACCAAAGCACTGGTGAGCATCTTTATTGGGTATCATGAGCACTGAGTGTCCAGCTACAATTTTATTTCCTTGTGTTATCCTATGTATTTCAGGCTTATGTGCAAATGATATGGGGAAATTGCTTTGGTCAGTGAACAAATACCACAGAAATTATATAAATCTGAACCTCATCACATGATATTGACCAGAAGAAAATAGCCACACTTGTAAAGAAGATTGCTTGGTAGTTTATTTACAACAGAATGTAAGGAAAAGTAAGTTATTAACAATAATAAATAACTCAAAAAACAGCAACTAAGCGATATGGATGACAGATATGAGAATAAAATTCTTCTGCTTAGCCTTGCATTGTTTAACATATGGCACATTTCAAAGCTTGGTCCTTCTCTGATGGCAGTGGTACATTCTCTAATGTTAAATGTCATAACTCTAAACCTAAAGCTAGACACTAAGGATTACAGGACATTCAAAGTCACATGGAACTTTCACAGAAATGAAATAAAAACAATTAATCGGTATTAGTGACACCCAAAAACTAGAGGAGATTGTAATTCAATGATCATGCTGTCCATTTAAAGCAAAAACATTGTTAGACTCAATTAGCCTCAAGCATTTTGGAATTTAGACAACTAAATTAAGTCTGAATAATGGCAGCTGAAAAGTTCCTATTGACAAATTCATGTATTCTCTCCTATTGCACTTATAACTCATAAAAAGCGTGTCTGTTCGGCCTATTTTAAATAAGAGAATGTTAAGTTATAGTGCAGCAAATCCCAATGCGTTATTAAAGATTGTTGCTGTTTAATTACCAAATTAAAATCACTGGACAAATAGTCCAGTTTCAAAATATCTATTTAAGCGCCTTATGTTCTTTAATGTTTTTGTATACTACTACTAAAGAATTTGAATTGTGCCCTCAATGGAGCAAAATCATCTCCCAAAATCTTGGTATGATCAAAAAGCAACAGAATAAGATCAAACTATGCCTTTTTGTTGGATTATTTTGTAACCCTTACCTATGTGACCAATCATTACTGTAGTGAATAATCCCATTGAAGTCTATTACTAAAGACTATTCACACAAATAAGAGTGGCAGGACCGGGCCCTTGCAAATTATTATTCAGAGAAATCTCTCTTTTTAATTTAGTAAGTGTTTTACCTGTGTCAGGACTGCAGGATTGAGCCCTCAATTGCCAGCATCATTCTGCAAGGTGTGATTATTCTAGAGGAAATACATATAAAAGTAGGAGCAGAGTGGGGAGAAGCATTTAAAAAAAATCATAAGCCAATTGCCTTATCAGCTTCATTGTGCTCTTCTTGATGATAATTTGTTTGTAGAGCCTCACTATGGTTGTATTATTTAATTCTCCAGTCATGGCAGCAGGGAATAAGGAGGCTACCGAATTATTAAGTAACTTCAGTTTTGCTGCGTTGCATCATACTTTAAAGATGTGCGTAGTACAGTTTTTTTTCCCCACAAAAGAAATCAACATGTGCAAAATACCCTACTTCCTTCCCCTCCCCACAAACATGTCTGAAAATTCTACAGAAGGTATTTTTACATAATCCATTCACAATGAAAATAAACAAAACATTTTCTCAAAACATGTTGCCAGAAAAATATTCTAGATTGCTTTTTTTTATTTTTGTGTATGTGCATAAGGAACATGGTAGAAAATAGCTACCCTGCCATGACAAAAAGAAAATAAAATGACATTGAAAGATTATTTTTGAGAGCATATTTAATGGTAGAAACACTGGGGTAAAACAGATCAGAACACAGGATAGGATGCTTGTGTAACCCGTGAAAAGCATGATGTAGCCTATAGTTCTTTCTCATCCAAAGCAGTGACATTCTATAGATCTTTTTATTTGTCTCCATTAGCACCCACATTGAAGGCAGGTATGGATTGTACTGATCCCCATTTTGGCTAGCAGTGAATTAGAAAAATTAGTTGTCTATTCAGTAAACATTATACTTCTGTAATACAGTACTCGTGAGTGGAGCTCAGAGTTCTAGAATTGCATGCAGAGGCATAGCATTAAGGATTCATTATTTCTCCACTGCATGCTCAGTCAATGCGTTTCTCTTTCCTAAATATCCACCATGCAGCTAATTAACTTGAATCCTCTTAAGATATGTTAATAATGTTCATACATGCCTGATCCCCAAACCTACATACGATAATGATCTTATCCACGCAGGATAGGAAGTTTGAGACTTAAATAAAATAAACAAATGAGTAAAGCTGTGTATGCTTTGTCCTAATGATCTGTGTTAAACATTCAGAAGCAAATAAAAGAATATCAACATTTATTTGTATACATGCAGAAATTATGAATACTTAATTAGTACACCCATCTGTTAATTAAAGTCATAAGCCAATGTGGGGTACTTTAGCATTTGATACCTGTGGCATTACACTGGCTAAAAAAAAAATCACAAATATCAATCACCAGTTAATTTACTAAGCACATGGAATTGCTGGCCTTGAGAGGAAAGGAAAGCAGAACATGGACAATATATGAGATAATGGATGAAGTCATACCATAGGCTAACCTACAAAGAGCTACTGGATTTTATTAGCCATGGGCTTTTAACTTTCAAATACACACATATTTTCAATGTCATCTGACAGTGGAATTCTTCCCCTCCCTCTCCCATTACTAAAACTAGCCCATCAAAATCAGACATTCACCTTAGCATCTACTACTGGACATGGAGCTGTTCGGAAGGTCAAAAGGTTTAAGTCAGTTAAACTTTTCCACAAGCAAAAATCATGCTACCATGCTGGGAAGACGGTACAAACATATCCCGACCCGGGGAATTCTATCGACAAACTGATTCTTCATCATTCAGTGATACTTTAACTCCGTGAGGTCCGTCTCTCTGCTTCACTATGCTTGTTATAACTGATAGTACAAGATACCATCTCAATATGAATATGTGATTCAGATAATATCCACCTTTCACTGGGCATTTCACAATGACTTATTTAAAGTCTACTACAACAACAATGGTGGTAGATGCTGACATTAGTTAAATAGCATCACAGAGGACTAAACACAGTGGTAGCATTGCAAAGGACTAAACCCATTATATGAACGTCAACAAGGAGCCCTGTGACTGGACATCAATAGGAAAGGTTTCTCCATAAGGCTGAATTTTAGAAAGGAAGTGGCTCCTTATTTCCCTATTTTTTTTACTCCTGGCTTGGGGAGAAAATCCCTTTTTTGATTTTTATTCCTGAGACTGAAGGGTGATTTCACTAACAGGCCAGGGATGTTGCTCCCCTTTCCCACATGTTACATTACATGTTATTTAGTTGCCAGATGATCTCTTTATTTTGTGTAAGTCGTGTCTTTCATTACTCTCTCCTTTTAGAGATCAATGGCAAAGTCTGAGATCTGCTTCCTGCTACTGGAGACCGCACTTAGCATGAAAGGACAGGGATAGAGTAAGGGTAAGTCCTCTTTCTCCCTCAGGAAGGCCAGAGGATCCCCATATTTCCCCCCTCAATACCTATGAGCTCTCCTATCACTATCACAATCCTTCTGGCCAGTGAGGACAGGATAGAACTCATCAAATCTGCTCCTTAACTGGCTAAGGTGGCCACTGCTGAATGACTTCTTTTTGTTTGAGGGGTGAATATGCTGCTTCTAAATATTATTATCCCATTAGCCCATGAAGCAAGAAACCTAGACTGGGATCTGAAATTGAATCTGAATATGTAACACTAGGGTTACCATATTTCAACACTGAAAGAAAAGGACACTCCATGGGGGTCCCGCCTCCGCCCCAACTCTGCCCATTCCCCGCCCCAACTCTGCCCTTTCCCCAAAGTCTCCACCCCCTCCCCTGAGCACCCTGCATTCCCCCTCCTCCCTCCCGGGCTCCGGCTGCTGCTGCGGCGCTGGGGAAGTTGCTTCGGCCCCTGCCGCGGTGGAGAGCGGCGGGAGCCGGGAAAGTTGGAGCCCGGGAAGGAGGCAGCTGTGCGCTCGGATGCCGCTGCCGCCTCCTCTGTGCCCCAGCAGACTGGGGGAGTTGTTAGTTTTGCTGCAGCCACTCGCACTCAGGATCCCCCGAGCATCTTTTGCCCGAGCGCTACCGGCAAAACTAAGAACTCCCCCGATCTGCGGGGGCACAGAGACGGCGGGCGGCATCCGAGTGCGCAGCCGCCTCCTCCCCGGGCTCCGGCTGCTGCTGCGCTGGGGAAGTTGCTTTGGCCCCAGGGCACGGTGGAGAGTGGCGGGAGCCGGGAAAGTTGGAGCCCGGGGAGGAGGCGGCTGCATGCTCGGATGCCGCCTGCCGCCTCTGTGCCCCGGCAGATCGGCAGATCGCGGGAGTTGTAAGTTTTGCTTCAGCCACTCGCACTCGGGGTCCCCTTACCATGCCTCCCTATTTTCCTGGACATGTTTGGCTTTTTGGAAATTCCTCCCAGACGGGGATTTGAGGACCAAAAAGCCGGACATGTCCGAGAAAATCCAGACGTATGGTAACCCTATGTAACACATCAGGGCAGAGCAAAGGTCGTGACTGAAGATCTTTAAAGAACTTTCCAATGGTGGACATATAAAAAATGTTTCTTTTCAGAATCTTTACTCCCAGGTGCTGTTCCAAAGCATCATGGCCTAGTTATTCACTATCCATGCTCAACCAACAACTATTCTGCGTCTGGTAAAACACCATAGCATAATATACATTCAGCGCTGATTAGTACAGTGAAATCTGTACAGGAGGCTATCCTTATTAGGCACCCACATGTCTTAAGAGATTGTCCTAAAGTATCCCCAAATGTACTAAATACCATTCTTCCCCACCTTTAGTAGAAGACCTCCCTCCTTAAACTCCAGATTTTTTTACAAACCCTCAAGTGGTTATTTAGGGCCTGAGTCAAAGCCCATTTAAGGCAATGGGAGTCTTCCCACTGGCTTCAGTAGGATTTGGATCAGACCCTGAAAGCTGGTTTCATTGTGATTAGACAGGAGCTCATAGGACTTAAATGAATGACAGGAATGCAATGATGACAGCTTCATTGGGAGCAGACCCTTGCATTATCTGGACTCTTTAAACTATTTAGCTGCTTGTGTTTCCATCTTTTTTATATCTGGAGCAGGGGTTACAAACACCAGCACATACTTGAGAGATCACAAGAGGACTGGGGAGAACTAGTAAAATACAATATAAACAAGAAATGGGTGGAATCTTTTATAAATTCTGTGCAAGGTATAAATAGTTCAATGGCCTTAAAGTCAGTATTATTAATTACAAATGGAGCCTTGGTGCATTGGTTATTTAGTTTTAAAAAGTTTAAAGTTTGTGTTAGCTAGGCCCCAAATCCTGAGTCATATTAAGCAACATCTGAATTTGAATAATTGCTGTTGGTGTTCAAGTATCAATGAGTAGCAGTTCAAAGGTTTATGATTAGACATGATAAGCCTGAGAGTAGAAAAATTTTAGAAATTCCGATATAATAGGAGAAAATTGGATTTTTAACTCTTTAACTTAACCCTGCACCTAAATTGACACTAGTTCCCTTCAGAAATCCTTGTCAGCTTTATTAAATACCTACAGCATTTCCAATCACAATTGCAGGCTATTCTCAGACTATTTAATTTCACATTAATAGCATGTGCCCTATGGCTTTGAGCTTTACTTTGGGAATCAGAATATATGAACTATGTTCTCTCACATGCACTTATTTAAGGATTTTAAGGAACAAGTCTGAGTTAAAGAAATCATCTTTCTAGATTGGTAACATTGTTTAAAAAATCCAAACAAACAACCACACCGAGCTTTGTAAATGTTAAGTTACTCTTGTTCTGGCAGACATGGCTTGTCAGAAGGAAACATGCTAGGTTAAATTTAAAGTGCTTTTTTCTCTGGGTCTGGAAGTGTGAGGGTTTCTGGAGCAGATTTTTTCCGAGGTCGGTCTTTGGGAACTGATAGGAATTCAGGAGCATCTGAGGACAGAGGAGTGGATGGAGCACTAGAAGGAGCACTACGGGTTGACGAAGGCAGGGAAATGTTAGAGATAGATATTGCAGGTGGGAAAATCCCAATTTTCTCATTAGTGGCTTCCTGAGTTGCACGTTCAAATTCTCGGACTTCATCCATTGTCATGTCTTTAATGAGAAGAAAAGAAAGACAAATGGAAAGTTAGAACCATTTCAAAGATGATTTCGGTAGCACCATTGCAGCGATTGCCATCAAAATCAAAACCAAAGGGTGTGTTCTCATCCCAGTGTGAGGATTCATGTATTGAAATTCCACTAGAGTTAATAGGAGCTCTGGCCAAAGTTTTCATAAGAGGTCACTGATTTTAGGTGCTTGGTTTGACACACCATTAGGCCTGATTTTTAAAAGTGCTGAGCACCCATAGCATATTGACCCCCTCTGCAGAAGAGAGTGCTTCATGTCTTACAACAGGAGCTAAGTGTCTCAAATTGGGTATCCAAAAATGAAAGCACACAGAATGAAGGGCCACTTCTGGAAATGTGGGCTCGTGTGGAAGGTCTTCCCCACACAAAAGGCCTCATTCTCCACTGCTTTGAATTCTGTTAAGTTGTTTACACCTGTGGAATTATGAGATCAGAATTGGTAGCATTACACACCTACTTTGCACAAGTGTAAATCATTGCACAAGGTGCAACGTAATGGAGAATCAGGCCCAAAGAATGCTTCCCTGTTACTAGAGAAAGCCTTCTCATGCGGAGGTGCAAATGTATCTGTCACATAGACACTACTGCACAAATCCACAAGAGGGCAGAGTAAGCCCAGAATAACATGTTCCAAACATAGCAATACAATTTTTTTTAAATAAAATCCTAAATCAGGTGTAACTCTTCTAGTTTTTCTGTACAAACTCAGAACTCAGGGCAGGTTCAGCAAAAGTTCAGCAAATCTTTTTTCATACCTAGCATTGCGTTTGGAGTGTCATGCAGGGGTTTATTGCTACAACTCAAAGCAAAATTCAGCTGTTTCAGATGAGTTTCACTTTGAGTTTGTAGGTTAATTTGAAGGAATCTCAGCAAGAAACTTAGTGGATGTAAACCCACCAGAACCAGCACAGAAAACAGGCTCATACAAAGCTCCTGTAAACCAAAATGACTGAGTTTTGCACAGCTCCCGTCCCCAGCACTGTAACATATGTAGTCAGTAAGAAATATGTTTCAAGTACTGTAAAACTTCCTTATAAACATTCTTTGGAGGTTATATTATAAGTGATGATAGATCCATAGGATGCATATTTAAAGAAAGCTCAGGAGAGGGGTTTGTTTGCATTGCTATGATGTATGTCTATATTACTACTACTACTAGGATGCACTTAAGTAAAACTAATCCTTACCCAGAGCTGCAAAGGACTCAGAAATATGTGACTTCATTCTGTCATTTTCTTTTTATTAATAAAGGCCAAATCCTGCCCTGACCATAATGGTAGTTTTGCCTAAGTAAGGGCTGAATAAGCACCACAGGCTTTTTACCAAAAGCCCATAGGGCCAAATCCTGGGGTCTTTAGTCTGAGGCTGATTCTAATCTCACTTACTGGTGTAGGCATCAGGAATAACTCTGAAAAGTCAGTGGGAATTCACCAATGTAAATCTAGAATTGCGCCTGTGCAAATTTGGTGTAAGAATCAGGCCCTCACTGTTTACTGAGAGAAAGTCCTTCTGAAGTCATTGGAAGCTTTGATGAATAAGGACTGAGTAAGGACTTCAGGATATAGCCCTTAACGACTAGCCCGGACATTGTTATTTGGGAAAAGCTGTTATTCACTCCCATGGGATTTTGACCTGACTAGAGATGCCAGAAATACCAACATTTTAAAACAGAAATGTCACTGTATCTCCTTTCAGGCTCCTAGTTTGTAGCTTATCAAGGGCAACACTGCAAATGATCTTGAAGACAAGTGGAAAACCCAGTTAGCCTTTTTCTTAGTGGTACAATTTCAGCAGCCCCACAGAACTTTTCCACTCCCCATGTTCCTGGCTGTTTGACTAAAAATGACATTTGAACACTGACATGGCTTTGAAACAATCAGAATAATTGGATGCCAAACCTGACATTGCTTGATCGTGCTCCTACTAATATTCCTCTTTGTGCACCCAACAGAACTTTGAGGATTTTGTTCTCCTGGAAGAAGGGGAGTTATGAACCTGACCCTATCCTGTCATAGCTCAGTGGGCGTTTGGGATGCAAAAAATGCAGGATTACACTCTACAGCGAGTGATTCCGATTCCACTGAATGTCAAACCTCCCGTTAACTTCAGTGGCAGCAGGATCATGCTTAAAGAAGGCCATTCTTCTTTGATTTGTGAGTGCACATTAGGCGAGGGTGGGCAATATGTTTTAAAAAACTACATACACTTGATTTGGCATGGCTCTCTATTTCATCCACAGTAGATGAATGTTGATTGCAAACTTTAATGTTGGTTTTTTCATGCATATTTTTCTCGAATTCTCGAACATCATCCATAGTCATATCTGCAAAAAGTTCAAAACGTTGGCATTTTCCATTAATTCACTGCAAACTTTAATAAAAAGGAAGGTGCGAGGGATAGATGGTCTTTCAGCAGAAGCCAAAGAAGGTTTAAAAAAAAAAAAGCAGGGAGCCAACTACCTTTATGAAAGGTGACTCATAAAGGTAGTTAAACCAGCCAAGGAAGGTGTAGGAAGGTTACGTCAAAGGGAGTCATAGAACAGGGAGGAGTGGAAAACGTTTAGGAGTATCTATGTGAAGTGAGCTAGGCAAAAAGTGTTGGAGTGCAGGCTTTTCTACAGGAAAGATCTTCTAAAATGACTTTAGAGGATCCTCCGCACTAACTGACAGATATTAAGAAATATAAGGATTTACTTACCTTTCTAGGAACTTTCTAAGAGAATTCTATAGCATTATCTTTAAGATTGCATGGTATGTTTCAAACTAAAAAGCAATCTTCACTGCTGAAGCATACAGCTGCAGTTTCAGAAGCTAACACACAATCACCATGCTGAATGGTTTACCAGTCAATACCAGTAATAATTTTGTAGCCTCAGACCCTTGGAAAGATTATATAAGTCTGACGATTCAGGCCAATCCTGAACGTCAGGAAAAGATATAATTGTGTGGGTATGTCCGACATTGTTAGCATACAGCTATGAAATAAAATGGTATGGGATGGAATTGCAATACATGGAAAGTCTGTTGAACGTTTTCTGCCCAACTTGTATGATTTAAATTTTACTTTATTAGAGCACTATACTTTCATATTTCCATATGTACCATTTCCAATAAAGAGATGATCACTGAAGTTTAGACAGGAGTTACAGAGAATGTAGCAATTTATCACCTGGTCAGTAATTAACTTGAGTAGAAATTGGATTTGGGCTCTTGCTGCTCAAATTTTTCTCAAGTGTTTTGTGTGTCATTTGGATTTATGACTTGCCATTTGTTATATGGTACGAGACTCTTGCTTTATTTAACAAGAGCATGCTTTTAAGGAGATGCAGCACTTATGCTGTTATATCCGCAACGGAGTACAATACTTGATAATGTTTTCACCCTTAGTGGATCCTTTCTCAGTGAGAATGAAGGACTGCTTAGCACTGATCAAAATGAAACATATGGAATAACTTTAAATGACCCATTCATTTAACCTACGCTTTTTCCTATTACCAGAAATGAAAAAGAAATTAATAAACAATGTAAATAGCATGCTAAAAAGCATTTTTGCCAAGCAAAGAATATGCTCTTTATTAGTAAAGTTTTGAGTTAACAATACAGTGAAGAAATTAGTTTTAATTCATGATAAAGCTAAATACATTTCAGTAAAATCAGTGATAACACACATTAATATTAGAGTCAGTAAAATCTGCTATTTTCCTTTCTAGTAGTTGAGTCTTATAAACAGTGGGCCAAATCCTCAGCTGGTATAAATTGGTGTAGCCCCATCAAACTCATTTGTCTCTTTTGAACTAACTTATACCATTTTAGGATCTAGCCCAAAGGTTTTAGCTTTAAAATAACACATTCATTGAAGGGACACTGTCAGTTTAAAATTTATATTTTTGAAAAACTTTTCCTTCCTTTTGTTACTAGTAATAGTGAAAGAACTTTAAAAATTTAAATGTACTTTTTACCATATTATATGATTGTTTACTTGTGCATTTTACTCAGTTTGGTCAGTGAACCAGTCACTGTCCAGTCAATTTCACTTGCAGATTCTCATGCTTTAGTACAATTCTGCAATATTTGGATTGCAAATAGTGCAGGGGAATATTTAAATTCTCCTCCAGGCTTATTTAATATTTTTAAAATAAAACTTTCCTACTAATATCCTAGATTTTGGGCCTAACCTGCCTGACAGAGTCCCTTTAAAAACATACTACATGGTATCATAAAAACTCTGGTACCGAAAGTGAAAACCTAAATGATAACCATGCACATTAATAATTTGCTTATTTGTGCAAACAGTCTTTTTTTGAGAGGGTGGTTTTGGGGGTAGGGTACGGAAATATGTGGTTACATTTTTTCCCCTTGGTTTTTCTTTTTTAACTTTTGAGTATGTGCTTAAGTGCTTTGCTGAACAGGAAGGGATTACTCACATACTTAATGCACACACTTACATGTTTACCTGAACTAGGGCACCAAGGCTGGTGTTTTCCAAATCCTATTGATAGAAACTCTCAGTGACAATCTCACCCACATTCACCCACAACTGTGGGTGCAGCTGAACCAACATAAATACAAATTTTCCACTTCTAATGGCTATCCTTCAGGCATGATTTCTGATACAGATCCTGTACTATGCCTGATTCTGGAGTCCTAATTTAGGCTTAAAGCTCCTTTTGAAGTAAAAAACCCACATCCTCAGAGGGTGTATACTGATGTTGCGCCATTAAAATTAATGGACTTACGCTGATTCACTCAAACTGAGGACCTGGCCCTGGAAAGTTCTGGCTGTGTAAAAACTGCAAGATTGTTTTCTGTCATGCACCAGTCTTTGAGCTTGTGCTAGAATGGTATGCTGTAGTTTAAACAAAGCTAACCAGATTCTAATTTTTCTTCCTTTTGTTTTAAAAAGAGGATAAATTTCAGAGAGCACAGAAACAGATGGGCTGGCCTTAGTAGGGACCTACTAATCAC